GCAAGAAATAGTAGTATGTGCCATACATAGCATGTATAGTACATGCCATATATAACATTTGTCGTACATATGAAGGCACTCTAGTATGGATTCAAAGTGGAAAAAATTCCCAATCATTTTTGCAAAACGCATTACTGTTTTTAATCAAAATTTCATCTGGAGCACCATCTTCTAGGCAGATATTCTTCAAATAATGCACACATATCTATCTAAACACACAAGTTCCCCCCAAGATGTTTACTTGTGCCTCATACAAACATTATGCAAGTGTTTTAGGTGTTTTATGATTATTTTTCTTTAACCACACCTTCTGTTTCATGTGCTTACTAGACTGGTGTCTCACGGGATATTTTCCTGAAAGACAAGACATTTTCCATATTTAATGGATGTTCTACTGATGTTGTTTCAAATCTGATATGAGGATACTACTGTTAAGTTTATTTGTTTAAATCACACTAAGCAGCTGGGCTAAAAAGAAGAAATATAGTAGTATTATCTGCCCATACTTCAAAATACTACTCATGATATTGTGCTGAAGAACAACTCAGGGCTCACCAAAAGTAAAAATGTTTCAGTTTGAAAAAAATTTCAGTTTGAACTGAGAAGCATTCATATTATACCTGAATGAAAATGCAAACAGAGAGTCTGAAATTTATCTCTAACACTATGCTGTTGCTATTTTAACCAGGGTAAATACTACAAGCTTATTGTTTGCCTAGCATAACAGAAAGTTAATTAAATACCACACACGGCAACTGAACTTTTAGCACAAAAAATGTGTGCTATAAAAGAAGGAACACTGAGTAGAAAAAAAGCTCACAGGTGTAGCCAAAGAGAGCAAAAGGTCATCATTTGCCAACTATTACTGTTGGGTTTCCACAACTACCACAAAATTCTGGTTTTTTTTCTAGGGTAGAGGAAATCTGAGGGACTCTCAGATACTGCTGTGTGGTAACTGCTGGCAAACATTACTATTTTTATCTTAACCACTAGTTGCATTTCACCATCAATTTTTGATTCACTTCTCCTTGTAGTTTTATATCTACCCAACTTGTTTTTTTTTAAACTTATTATTTAGAAACACATTTCCTTCTAAGCAAAAACTAATAAGTAGGTTAATAAATAAATACACCAGATTTGAGTATGATATACCTACATTTATAGAAAGAAGTTTAGAAGTGGACACTAACTGTAAGTTATAGTCTCCTGAATAGTTTCTTTTAGTTTTCAAAATGAGGTTACTGTAAAGAAGTAAGAGGCACTTACAGCTGCAGTGTGCTGGAGTAGAACCTGATAGATGTTTTAATCAATATTCAAGCTCTATACATTTTAATAAACGTTTAATGGAATTTCTACTAAAAACAAGTCAACTGCAAGGGAGACATCTCGCATGCAAGTACTCTTCAGCTTCACAGATTTCCACATAACAAAGCAAGGCCAATGTAGTCATCTACTTTGGCTTCCCGCATAAAATAAAATGCAGGACTTCCTGGAATGAATAAATTTTGACATTAGAGTGCACTTTTCAGAACAAAAACCATTCTTCCAAAAACGGGCAGGGGTGAATAACTCACCAGGACTTTCACTACACAGAGAAAGAATACCGGAAGCAAAAGGCCAAAACCCTAATCTACAGATGTAGCTTCAACATTAAATTCAGCTAAAGTTAGAAAAAACAGCTGCTACACAGAAAAACACCAATAAAGAACAAGTCCATCAGACTGCAAACCTCTTCCACTAATTACCCTTGAACAAGCTCTTCCTCATATGCAAATATTCCTCTACAATTTCTTCCTTCGCTGTTGCATAGTTTGTATGATGGGGCAAGTATGATCTGAATTTTTAACCTTGGGGGCGCTTAATAGTTTGGACCTGCTGATAAGGATCATCACTTGTTTTTGTGTGCTGCTGTCTGCTTAATACTCACAACAGTTTTATCTTTCAGAATCAGAAAAGACAGCTCATCCAGAACCAGAAGGAACAAGTGCTGCCATAGCACTTTTAGCTTTCCTTTATCACATTTTCAGATTTTTGTTACATAAATAAATAGAAACTAGTTCACATTTGGAGAAAACAGCTACTTAGGTCAAAGAATTTTCTAGCTGGCTCTGATTTTAACTATACAGTAAATAAAGCACTGCTGTTCTCGCCTTTCTTGAAGGCTCTTTTCAAATGTATGATTTAGTCATCACAGAGTGATCATACAAGAGAATAAACTGATTTTCTGAAGTTTAGTTTATAATTAATTGTGCATCTGATCTGCATTGTCTCTATCAATGTTGAATTAATATGACTTAGAAGTTATATTAATTGTGGCCTCACATTACTGAATCTCTGGCCTCATATTGCAATCTATCCCTGGCCTCATATTACCGAAACCTTGTAAAGCTTACTCTATTATCATACCAATCCACTGGGACCGTGAAACAGGCAAATACACAGTATAGTGTAGGGCAATGCACTCCAACACACAGCTGCACAGAAACTAGTATTACATGATAAATGCACTGACTAAGACACATTTCAGTATATGCCTATTAGGAAGATTTTTCTCATTTGCAAAACACGTAAAAATGTTAGGAACCATCAATGCACATAAAGTTTACGTAGTGGGACAAGCTTAACTGGCTGCCTTTGATTACCAGAAGTCTTGCCCAAATTATCCTTCCTATTACCTCCCCTAAATCCTCATTAAAACCTCAAATTACACTGATATGGTCATAAATTTCACTGTGTCATAAGAAAGGTATGAAGCTCGGCAGAATTAGGATGCAGTTTCCTAAATATATTGATAGACTTTTGTCCTTGATATTAAAAAAACTAATATGTTTTCCCAAATTCACACCATTTGGGAAACGGGCAGGGAAAAAGCATAACTGTTTCACTCAAAACCTGCCAATGAAAGCTGCTTCTGCTGCCTGTCCCTGGAAAAGGTGCCTATGTACCTGTTTAAACCCATGCTGTGAGGGACATCATGCTACCCAGAATATTCCTCTACCTCTCTATTTCATTACACTTTTAATCGTGAAAGCAAGGTAAGCACGACTGCTGCTTGTAACATGCAAGCTGACTGGCACTATCCAGCACCACCTGCTGAAATTCAATGAAATTAATCACACTCATTAATATTCATGACAGCAACAATTCTTTTAGAAGCTAATACAGACACTTCTCATTTTTGTGACACAGCATGACCTGGCACACACTTAATTTAGGGCTTATCAGCTCAAAACTTTTATCACCTGAAGCACCTTATGCACTTACATCGTGACATTTCTCATCAGTGAATGTCGATTCCTTAAAAGCTGAGGACTCCTCAGAGAGGCCTCACAATAACGAGAAAGTCACCGTAAGCCTCCTTTCTGAACAGGTAGAACAAGCAATAGAAGATGCTACTAATGCAATGTTTTCCCCAGTCTTACTGGATCCCACATCACATGTCTTCCTCTAGAAAGACCCTGGGCACTTGCAGTACTCTTTCTTCAGGGCTCTTTCATTATTTCTACCCAGCCTCTTAACAGAACGGTCTCTCCTCACTCCTCTCCTCATGTTTGCCTCATTTTTTTCTTCAGTGTATTGCTCTCTACCCTGTTCTTGAAAAATTACTTTCCTGACTCCTAATAATGCTTCTCCCTCTCTTGCCGTAAAGTTGATAAGAAGTCCTCGCGGAGGAACTGAATTTAATGGTAAATCAGAGCTAAGATAGCCAGAGATCAGAAAAGGGAATATAATGTAATACAGAAGGATATATTCAAAGACAGAGAGCCTGAGTTTAGGCTCTGGTAAGCCGGAAGGGAAGGGAAGGATGAAGAGTTTTCCTGGTGCTGTGACGTACTAGGTGCTGCTCCCTCAGAGATGCCTTCTCTAACAGTCCCTTTAAATTCAAAAGCAAAATCTGGGAAGATATCTGCTCTTCCTGAACAAAAGTGGCACTTTTAAGTACAAAAAATGAAAGAAAAAGAAATTTCCCCTATCTGTTGTGCAAACAAATCTCTAGATCATGGTAAAAAAAACATTATACTAGACACAGGTTGGAACAGATTCCTTGCAATAATTCATATTTCACTACTGATAAACAAATACAATTTTTCTCGATGAATAACTATCAGCAGTCATTTCTAAAAAGTATATATTCATTGTTTTCTTAGGTTGAGCTGAGGAGTTCAAACAACATCAGTGAGGCTGCTTTCTGTCACACAAAATGAGCGTTTAGTGAGGGTAAGCTAACAGTCATTTAAAATACAGATTATATATAAAGCCAATCAAAAATCTGAACTATAGAGATTATAGAGGGTTCACTGGAGTCCAAAAGTAAGCCCAGCATAGGGTTTATTGCCTCGGTTGTGGCTCTGTGTATTTATGTATGTGAAAGACTGACTTGCAGTGACTGCAAGAAAAAGAGCAAGAAAAAACGTAGCTTTTGGGGCTGAGTAAACCACTAGTAGTGGCTGTGAGCAGAGAAATTCTGTCGTGTGTTTTATTCTTACCTACTCAGGGACACAGAACTTTGGATCTGCTTTTGGTTAGGGTCTGTTTTCAGTAAGTAATGGAAAAAATGACCACCTTAAAAGTTACCCAACTCTCTGTTACTTATGGCAACATTAAGCAAGATCCTAAAACACTCCTCACGTCCGAACAGAGTAACACAATGCAAGGCTATTTCTGGATGAACTGCCACGTATTCTGCAGCATTTTTCCCCTGTGCACGCCTCATGTGCGCTCAGGCTCTACTGGTACTTACCGTTTGCTTCGTGAAGGTCTATCCCAAGATTTTTGTAGTTTATATTAAAAGTTACTAAATCTAGAAAATAAAATTTGTTTTAAAATTATCTGCTGGTACATGTCAAATTGAAGAATACCCTTCCTTTCTATTTAGGTGGAAAGATGAAGCACTGGTTCCTTCACATAAACAAGTAAAAATAAAGGCAGAATTAAAACATCTTTGCATTTTCACGACTAAGAGTGTATTTTGGTTGGCAGGAGAGAGAATTCAGACTTACTGTGCATTTGTTTGGCTTCTCTCCTGAGTGGACTCTCATGTGAATCAGCAACTTGTAACGGGCATTAAATGGCTTGTACCTCCGTGGGCACCCTGCCCAGAAACACGTGAAGTCCTCTCCCTTCCTCTGGTCTATGTGGATCTTTTCTATGTGCCGCACAAGGTCCTCTTGCTGGTCGTACAGAGCGCTGCACTCAATCCACCGACAGCAGTGCTTGCCACTGAAGTCATC